GAAGAGAGATGTGCGCGGGCAAGAAGAAGCAACATCAGCGTAACGTGTACTCATGAATGTATGTGTGATTATCACATTTGTGTAAATACGCATAAATAAAGGAATATGCAATAAACCCAAACATATGAACATATTTTCCTGAAATATTTTAATTATCTCAGGAAGTTAAATATGCTATTAAAGTAATTGAATTATGATATGCTTAGATTCCAATTAATAAAATAAAAATTAAATAAAATTTCAGTTTCATGAGTTTTAGGATTCGAACGTATAGGTTCGTATTCGGATTGTGCTTAGCCCCTTCCCGCTTACGACCTCAGCCACCACAAAAGTGGAAATGTGGCCGCTTAGCCACCGTTTTATTGTTATCCTTTGTTTAATAAGCAATTGCTCACATAACGCACATACATAAGTTGGAAAAATAGCCTACTAAATGTTTATTTTATTATGAATTCTGGGGTTTTTACCGGTAATACAGATTTTTAATTCAGAAGGCTTTTCATAATTATAAATTTGTCATATCATAGAAATTGAAAACATAAATCTAAATAGGTATGCGCAACGATTTTTCATATAGGAATATTCGTTGTGTCTATTTATAGCATTTCGCACATTGCGTGGTGTATTTTTCTTTTTCGAAGTTATATTTTTCGATGTTCCCTCATCTGGAACTACAAATTAGTACTCAAAAAGTTTTCAGTTAACATTTGCTCCTTCTCTACTCATCAACATTCTCTGGCCCTATGACACCTCTCAGCTGTTGCTTTGCTTACATCCCTTTACGATCCGTATACTATTTCAAATTGGAAATTGCAGTGCATTGCCAATGTTGAACACATTGTTCAATTAAAAGAGTATCTGTTGATTCCCCTATTAATTAAACCAAAAATTTGCCAATTTAAGTACAATTATCCGGGGGATATTGTATTGATAAATCCCAACTAAATTAATAATAAAATAAAAAAATTTATTTTATATGACATATATCTGAAAAAATGTTAATGGGATGGCAACACTCTGAAAGTTAATTAATAATAAAATGAAAAATTAGATTTTATATGAAATATATTTGAAAGATGTTAATGGGATTGTAACACTCTGAAAGTTTTTTTGTGATATAGCAACAAAAACGTTTCAAAATCTTAATAATATTAAAGGCCAATTCAAATAGAACTTTTGCTTTGCATCAGATATTTGTTTTGACAGAAACGTTCGATGTAGCGAAGCAGAATGTTGAGTAACTCTCATTTTTTTACGCTTTGCGAAGCAACAGTCGCTTTTTTATTAGAGAGAAACACTGGAAACAAAGTATTCATTGTGGCATACCGTTGCTTTTTCCCCTTCGTTGTAAAATTATGACTTTTCAAGCTAAACAAGGAAAGTTGTATATGAATGGGACATAATGTGTATATCGATGCACGAAAAATATTGTAACAAACACGAATGCCAGATCAAGACAGAATCAACGATAAACTGTTAGAACCAACTAGATAGCGGAATTCGTAGTTGTCAGAATTTTCGAGTTAACAATCTACTATACAAGGGCTGCCGGCCACAGCAAACACAGTTCTAATTAACGTGTTGTCGTGTAAAAAGCAATTGAGCTTTTAGCAATAATTTGAAAACTCGAATAACGAGTAATTGGCCGATTTAATTGTAGTTCGCGGAGAGGATCTTTCAATTCATCCCCTTCAGTTTTAATTTTGTCCCGATCTTTCGAAATCTCGAAATCTGCGATTACAGTTATTCTATATCCGTTGACATCTGCGATATTGCAGCAAAAATCATGTTCATGTCCACAATCTTTGACGAGTTTTGAGCCTCTTCCTTTTCTTCTATCAACGTAGTTTTTTTCTTTGATTCAAATTAAAACACATATTTGTCAACATTGATGTTTTCTGCTTTACAACATTTTATGCTAAATCACGTTTTTCCAGCTTGTTTTTAGATGTGGAATCTTCAGATCGTTAAATTTGTCCATTTTAAAGCAATTTCCTTTTTGGGTATTTTTTTGACAATCCCACTTCTGAGACCAATTGCAACCGTAAATATAACTCATTCTTGAGATCGATCACTGGATTGTTAAATAAAAGTCCTAATTTGCTGGCTATACACTTATTTTTATTTCTAGTTCAAACAACTTAACACTTATTACACATTTATTTCCGAATATCCAGCTTCTGGTATATCTCCTGTATAAGAGCTGATTCAAAATTTCTCCCTTGGTCAGAATGTAGTTCTATTGGAACACCATATCTCGATACCCAATTTTTGATGAATTCATCCGCTACTGTTCCTGCCTCTTGGTTAGGAATTGCGTATACCCGCAGTTGAAGGATTTAAACACACCATCATTTTTCTTATGCCCTTCCGTAGATTTTTCCAGTGCTTTCTGCATGTTTTAAATTTTTTTAAGTAATTGGTTCACCCAAGTGTGTTTCTCTATTTCTACTTTGTGAGCTTTAAATGTTTTATTGCAAAGCAGAGATGCAGTTTCCTGTGTCAGAGCATACGAAACGGTTTCTGCAAACGTCAATTTTGGACATGCTAATGCAGCGAAGCGTGTAGTGTTATCTCGTATTTCATTGACGAAAGTCTGAATTTTCGTGTCCTCGATGTATTCCATGGATTTATGTGCATAAGCTAAGTGAGCTCAATCTCTGTAGCAAACTCCTGCAACGACCCATTTGCTTTCTGGCGGCGATTTCGCAACTCCATTTGAAAGATCTGCTTCCTGTGCTCACTACCATACCGTCTTTCTAATGCACCCATCAACGTTTTATAACTACTCACCTCGCAGTTTGGAATGGTCTGTAATATCTCCACTGCAGATCCTTTTAATGCCACAAACAATGCAGCGTTCCAATTATTTGAAGATGCCGTCTTTTCGAATCTTAAAAACGTGGAACGGAACAGTGCCATCAAAGGATGAAGGTTTTACCTTGGCAGATACTCTTGACACAATGGCCGATTTAATTGTAGCTCGCGGAGACGATCTTTCAATTCATCCATTTCAGTTTTAATTTTATCCCGCTCTTACGAAATCTGTGAGGACGCTTCTGCTATTTGTGAGGTCACCTGTGCTGATATACGTGCATCTTGCGCTGCGAACTGCTCTTCCAACCGCGTTCCTAACGAGGACAATTGGGATTGTTGTGTCAACATTTGTGATGACACCTTTGCTATTTGTTGAGTTATACGTGCATTCTGCTCTTTAAATTGTGTCGATATTTGCGTTGAAATTTGCCATATTGCTGCAAAAATCATGTTTATGTCCACCATTTTTGACGAGCAGGGAGCCTCTTCCTTTTCTTCTATCTTTGTTGTCTCTTCCTGTAATTAGATGAGAAAGACATATTCCTCAACATTAATGTTTTCCGCCTCCATGGCCTCTCTCAACCGTGATTGTAATTCAGTTTTTAATCCATTTTTCGCCAAACCACGTTGCTCCAGCTCCTTTTTCAGTTGTGAAATCTTCAGATCGTTAAACTTGGCCATTTTCAAATAATTAACTCCTTGGGAATTTATTTGACAATCCCACTTCTGACACCAATTGTAACGGATTTCTCGATAAATCGTCTACCTGTAACTCACTCTTGAGTTCGATCACTAGATTGTTAAATTAAAGTCCCAATTTAATGACTATACACTTATCTTTACTTTTATTTCCAACAACTTAACACTTATTGCTCGATATTCGAGTTTACAACTTATTGCTTACAGCTTAATTGCTTTTTACACAGCAACACCCTAATTAGAACTGTGTCTGCTGCACAGTCCGGCAGCCCTTATATAGTAAATTTTTAACAAAAGTTCGCTACTAGAACATTCTGGCAACTACGAACTCGCTGTCTAGTTGCTTCTGGCAGTTTATCGTCGATTCTGATTTGTTCTGGTATTCGTGTTCGCCACAATACAATAGGTTTGTATCTTAACTGTTAACTAGCTAGCTAGCAAAATTTCCGCTGAAAAAGCGTTTCTTAACCCAAAAAACTAGCAAAAGAGGGCACAAGTTGACTGCGTAAAAAGCTGAGAGAGCTGCTAATTTCTGCATATGAAGAAACAGCTGTTAAAGCTCATGTATATACAAGCAATATTTGACGCATTTGCTTTGATTTTGTTTATATAGAATTGTGAAAATAAAAATTCTATGGATTAATTTCCAAGTGTTGATATGAAGTGATTGTAAAAAATAACATTTTGACATTTTCTGATAGATATGCTAGTTTTCCGTTTTTAGTTTTTCGTTATTCCGCTCTTTGTGAGAGTACCTGGCAATTTTCTTCTTCCTGATAGCGAGCAGCTACTAGCAGTTAAGATACACCGCTAATGAGATGTTTACAAGATTTTATGAAGGTGCTATGTTTGTACCAAGAACAAAATACATGACTTTTAATAAAAATCTTAGCTTTTACATAAAGAGATAAAGGTCTTATTGGCATCTTACATAATATTAATTCAACCCCAATATTGTCATTGTATGTTTTTCATAATAATCTCATATCGTGAATACCATTCAAATAGTTATATATGTTATCAATAGTGCGATTCGATTGTGAAAAAATAGTGCGGCGGGGACTTTTCATATCATCACGTTTTGACACTATTGCAGTTTAAGACAAAAGACAGCAGTGAACATGGCAGGTTATCAAATACAAGAGAAAACACCTGCGTTCATACACAAAAATATATTATCCAAAGGGGACGGTATACAAATTGATGCAATAAAATTATGTCACCGCGACAAAGTACTAGATTTCCTACGATCGCATTACTATCTGGAGGAGCCTTTGACAATCGGAAGTTATCCAAAAGAACAGGATCCGGAGGATGAAAAATTTAACATGTCACAGATAACTCACGGAACTTGTTTAATGGCACTGAATGAAGAACGCATTGTTGGAGTTTTAATTTCCGGACTAAAGCATAGTAACGAAGCCGATCATTTGTTCGAAGATGCCGCAAGATTCGGACCCACTAAATGGGGTACTGCCTTAAAAATCTTGGCATGCGCTGAAAGAGAATCCAATGTGTATGTACGATATAACGTTTTAAAAGCATTGCATATTCATATATTAGCTGTTGACGCACAACTGCGCGGTCATACAATTGGCGCAAGTTTGATAGAAGAGATAAAAAAGCTTGGTCGGCACTTGGGTTATCCACTTTTGACTTTGGACTGCACCAGTTATTATTCAGCTAAACTATGCGAGCGTCTACACATGGATCTTGTGAATGTTATAAAATATGACGAGTATCTGGATAAAGAAGGCAAACCTATTTTCAAGCCTCCGCCTCCGCACCAATCCCTTAAAACATATGCAACCAGATTATAAATTTTTTAATATAATAGTAAATTTTTGCTATAACTGTCAGCAGAAATAAAAATTGATTTGATGTCTCACAGCTGATAGTATTTCGAATGAATAAATTATTTATATACAAGTTGTGTTACTTCGGAGTGTGCTTCCTTTTACGAAATTTTTTTTTTAATCCATATCATAACTTTTTTTTGTTTTACTCATGAATTTCTTGTTTACATTTTAATGTTGTTGTTGTTGTTGTAACGATTACCTAGTATTTGGGTGATAAATTCCAGATTCGTTGTCGCCGAGGTCATCAAACGGGAGGCCCAGGAGACGAGCTGTTTCGACGGGGTCGGACCATAGGGAGAGGGGTGTTAGATGAGTGGGGTTTGTTGGGCATGCAAAGAGGTGGTTAGTGTCATGCGGAGACTCATTGCACGCAGGACATGCGTTTGGTATGTCGGGGTCTATTCTGGATAAGTAGGAGTTTAACCTGCTACAGTATCCAGAACGAAATTGCGCGAGGGTCACTCTGATTTCACGAGGCAACTCGAGCTCTACATCTGCTATGGGTGGTGGTTTGACTCGTAATACGCCATTCACTGAGAGGGAGTCGGTGAAGGTGTTGATGGCTCCACTGTGAATGGCGGTCAGTGCCTGTCTGAAGTTCGTTGCGTCCGAAGTCCGGTCGGCGTACTGTCTAATGTCGTCGACGTAATCAAGGAAAGACCTCTTGATGTTCCTAGAAGGCCCGACGTCAATATCGTGCAATCATCAGCGTACAAGGTCACGGAAATTCCCTCTTGTGGTTGAGGGAGTTTCGAGATGTAGAAATTAAACAGTAAAGGGGAGAGGACACCACCCTGCGGAACCCCCTGTTTAATTTTTCTCAGTTTGGAGTTTTGACCTCGAAATTGTACGGATGATTGCCGACCGCTCAGGTAGTTTGTGGTCCACCGCTTCAGAAGGGAGCGTAGATTGTTCGATGTCCTCCAGTAGCGTTGTGTGGTTGACTGTGTCGAAGGCTTTCGACAAGTCCAACGCTACGAGGATCGTCCTCTTGCAGGGTGGCTTCTGGTTTAGGCCATGAATTATCTGGGCGTTTATGACGCTAAGTGCTGTGGTGGTGCTGTACACTTTCTGGAAGCCATGCTGATGTTCTGCTAGGCTGAAGTGGTGAGCGAACGTCGGGAGTAACAAGGCTTCAAGTGTCTTCACTACTGGGGAAAGGAAAGTTATCGGGCGATAAGACTCCCCTTTGTTGGCGGGTTTCCCAGGTTTCAGTAGTGGGACCACTCTTCCGACTTTCCAAACATCGACAAGTTGAGGGCCTTGGTGAGATAGTTTACTCCCATCGAGCCTAGATGTTTTAGCATCAGCATGCTTATTCCGTCAGGGCCAATGGATTTGGACGATTTGGCCTTTGTGATGGCACTCTGAACCTCCCCATCGGTGAAAGTAAGTGGCGCGCGGTCTTTGGGCATTTTGCGCAGCCGTCGGGTAACACATCGTTTGGCCTTGTTAATTGAAGGGTGCATTGTAAACTGCAGGCTAAAATAGCTCGCGCACTTCTTCGGGTCCGAGGAGGCATGGCCATCGAATTGAAGTTCAACCCGATCGTCATGTCTCCTCGGATTTGACAGGGCCTTGACAGTAGTCCAAAGCTTACTCACACCGGTGGAGAGGTTGCAGGACTTCAGGTGCTCTATCCATTTTGTAAGCTTATGATGGTTTACCATTTGCCGAATCTCTAAATTGAGATCCCTTATTCGGGGATCACAAGGATCGGCATGGCGTAAGGTGTCGCGCTCATTTGCTAGTACAGCTGCTTCGGCTGGGAAATTAGGGCGGAGTTCAGCGATTCTTTCAGCCGGTATGAAGCGAGCAGTAGCAGCGGCGATCACCTTGCGGAATTGACGCTCGCCAACGATGACGTCCGTGTTGTTGTTGTTGTTGTGAGGAATCCGGTCCGTAGGAATGGGTAGTGCGTTGAAGGTGCTCTCGGTAAATTCTGTGAAGCCAACCCAGTTAGCTTTGTTAAAGTTAACAAAAGTCCACAGAAATAAAGTCATGAGGTTTCTCGATCGAGATAATTATGGGCAGATGGTCTGATGCGAGACGTAGCATAGGTCGCCAGGTTATACTATTTATCAGACCACCGCTAGCGATGATGGCAACATACGTCGCACTCCACACGTGTGGTGCGCAGAACGAAACACGACAGAAAGTGACACCAGCCAGTGCAAGAATTGCATTTGACTGATGTGACATTCCGGCGTATTACGGTCTGACACACGGAACAGACTGTGCGAGGAACCAGGAGTTGCTGGGTGGTTCTCGCACGAGGATTGGAGCTGGATGAAGGTTGGGGGGGGGAGGTTGGTCAGACTGGGAGTTATGCTGTCTGTGTGAGCTCCTTAGGGCCGTGTAGGTCCTTTCTTGGCCACTCGACTGGAGTGGCGGCGCAGTGCGCGAACATGGTGCAGGTTGCACAGCCGTTTACATTTTAATGATTTTGTATGGTTTACAAGCTATTCGTACTTAGTTATAACTTAAAAATAAAAAACACATTTTTCATTGGTCGAAATCTCTTTAATTTAGTTTTGAATCATAAAAACAAACCAAAAGGTTAATTTTAACTATCTTCGCTTCTTGAGAGACCCCATGACAGGGATAATGGGATGCCCAACTCTTTCCAGTGTGAGAGCGCCTCAAAATTAGCGTTTTTTATAACATTTTCCATTGCAGCCAGATCGGACAAAATAATTTTTGGGGATTTAAATTAAAATACCCTACATTTATTAAGATTAAATATTATATACATGTATCCGTTAAACATATACAGAAACTAATTAAAACCTTTTTAGTGATTTTGTAATATATTAAAACAATTGATGTTTGAACTTTCAATACTTAATCAAAAGAATAAATGTATTAGCTCTCAATAAATAAATGTTTTTTATAATTTTTAATTGAAAAGTAATACATTACTATATTTTTTTTGCAGTTTGGATACTCGACACTTACAGCGTGTTGCGTAAATCATTTCAATATTGGGATGGTGGTCTCACATTTTGCTTGCAAGGAATTACCACTAATGTGAAAGAACAATATTTAGAATACTCGCTATTTATATTTTCAAGGAAAAACTTATGACGGGAACGTTCTAATCTATCGGACAGTATATATATAGCTGTAATTTTTTTATAAAATGATATTCGAACTCTATCCTTTGCCCTTAAAAGACATAAATATGAACGCATCTTACTATATCTAGGTAAATATAAAAGAGTAAAAGTAACTCCATTTTTATTAAAATTCATTCATATATACGTTTAATACTGCTAAATGTTATTAAATATTTAAATTACCATTTTTCATAATATATCTATTCTTCTATGCATATTTGCATATTACAAATAAAAAATAGATAACAAAATTCAAATTTCGGAACGCATAAATTCATTTGAAACTGAGCGCTATTTTAACCATGAAAAGAATGTCAAAATTAAAAAGAATGATGAATTGCGTAGCAGCGAACTGTTACGAACAAGAATACCCGAGCATGAGCCCCACGGTCCCTTCGTATTTCCTTGTTGTCCCCTCGTCCACAATAAACCGGTTTGGGCGGCAAGGGAGTCCGCTTAGCGCCAGCGGTAAATATTTAAATAAAATATAAATAAAAAATTGGCAAATATTTATGACTATCAAAAACCGAATTTAGCAAAATTTACCATCACTTTATTCTGATATTTTTATGTGCATTGACTTACTTCAAATACTCCTTAACAGTATTTTGCGTTAGGTGAAACTAAAAACAACAAATAAAAAATACACAAATAAATCTTATATTTTTATCGACCTTCTAAAAGCATGGATGAAATGACCGAAACTCTTTGATTTGAGAGGGCGCTGTCAAAGTCTAAATTTTTTATAACAAACAGTGGTGCCACTAAGGAAAGAAAAAAGTTTTGAGATGTTTTAATGTATTTCTTGGGTATTTTTCGGTTTCCATTTTACAGAAAAATATACATAATTAAAATTAGTTTAACAAGCTAGATATCGTATATGGCGTCTAATTATATGTACATGTATATTTTAATCACAAAAGATTTTCAAAATTAACGTTTAAAACTAAATTTAACAAAATATTTTAATATTTCAAAACACTTACAAGTTTTAAATAACCTAAACATGAACCTTATTTCCAAAATATTTTTCTATAAATAAATATCTTTTGATAATTTATTCGGAAGTCAAAGTTTACATAACATTTGCTGGGAATTCTAACCAAAATATGTATATACGTTGACAATTGGTACTGCTAAGCAAAACAATACTCTGCGACAAAACACTCGCTCTTTCTTAAAAACAAAACTATATTAAATATCTTTAAATAAAGATTAGATATATACGTAAAAGTCACCAAAACATCTGATTTCACAAATTACCTAGTGATTTCGCAATTTATTTCTGCGGGATTCGTAGTGGTAGTTCATTGTTTTACTTGTCATCTGTTCAGTAGCTCATGAACTCGTGTTTTTTTTTGGCAGCACTGAAAGTTCATGAGCTCTCTCAGAAGGCAAAGAGAGGAGTTTCGAATCATTTTATCTATGTCTAAAAGTATCCAGCAAGTCACGGTACCAAAACTTCAAACATTGAAAGAATTTCCCAATTTAAGAAAGTAAAAGAAACTTTAACAAAAATCTCAGGTAGTGCTGTTGGGTAACCGGTGATTTACCCGAGCATATTGTAACGGATTTCTCGATAAATCGTCTACCTGTAACTCACTCTTGAGTTCGATCACTGGATTGTTAAATAAAACTCCCAATTTAATGGCTACACACTTATCTATATTTCTAATTCCAACCCCTTATTTCAAAACTTATTGCTCGTTATACGAGCTTACAACTTCTTGCTTATGTCTCAATTGTTCTCATCACGACAACACTCTAACTAGAACTGTGTTTGCTGCACAATCCGGCAGCCCTTATATAGTAAATCTGTACCAAAACATTGCTTCTAGAACATTCTGGCAACTACGAATTCGCTAACTAGTTGCTTCTGGCAGTTTATCGTTCATTCGATTTTGTTCTATCATCTATGTTCGTCACAATATTAAAAATATTTTGCTTAATTTTTTTATTTCTGATAGGTCTCTCTGGTAAATATCGTGTGATTTTACCTAATCCTGCAGTTACACGATCAAGAAGTTGCTTTCAAGTTGATCACACAATCTATTGTACTTTTCAAAATTCATTTAAATTGACAGCCGTCGTCATGGAAAGTTCTGCACGTAATAATTAGTTTATTGAAAAGTTGGAATGGGAAAAAAGAGATGAGTTGAGAAAGGCTATCTGTTATATGAAAAAAAGATATATTTAATAATATATTTAAAATCCAAATTTTTTGCTTTTTTAACTTTAGTTCTGCACTATAAGTTATTCGAGAGACACAGAAATTTAAATTTCTGGAGACAATGGTTGATGTACTTATATTTTGAGATCAACCCATGAATATAACAAAAAATTCATATTTGACTAGTTGCATGGAGTTTCTTTGCAAAACTATAATCAGCTGTTTTAATTTGATTGTCAAGTTGTCCCACGACTTGAGTTGAAAAATTGATATCAAGACGGCGTTCAAGTTCAAAAACTGAAAGTGGGGTAGGAGAAAAGTGTGAGTGTATGCAACTTTAAAGCAGTTTCTTGATCGTCGCATGTCTGGATAAAGTTGACTTCTTTGGGTAAATAAAAGTTAACCGCTATATCTATAGTAATTTTAAATTCAATTTTAACTACTTTTAGTTATTTTTTTTCTACAGTCGGAGATAAAATTAAAATATTTTGCGTTTCTTTGTATCTTCTTTTGATTTTCAACACATACTTTAATACATTTCTCATACATTTTTTGAAAGTCTAAAATTATGAGTACGAGATGTTAATTATAAATATTGTAACGGAATTCTCTATAAATCGTCTAACTATAACTAACTCGTGAGTTCGATCAACTGAACACTTATTACAACTATTCGAGCTTACAACTTATTGCTTATAGCTCAATTGCTCTTTACGAAGCAACACCTTAATTAGCCAAATGGTTTAAGTGGTGGAGAAAAATCTGGATACGCATATATTTTCTATCTTTACCTTTTACTTATATTAAAATAAAATCTTAGACCAATTTAAGTTCTCTGGTAAATACTTTCATTCAATTAAACTAAATCTTATTAAATGTATTATAGGTATAAAAGGATGGTAACGCTGGCCGTTGTTAAAATATTCTGTTACAACGGCAGCACAGTTTGGGGAGTTTATTTTTTTCAGTCTACGACACGCAGTTAAACCAGAGAATGTTAAACAACGGGGAAGTGAATTTACTACGACCGAAAAGTTTGGTAATTTGGTAGGAAACAAAAATATTTATAAACTTAGTTGTACATTCATGAAACTGTGCTAAAACAAAATAAAAATAATAATAAACTTGTAAGTGTACGAAAAGATAATATTGTCTCCTAGATCACCTCTTAGAAAGTGTATAAATATACCAATACTAACGTAGAGTCCGTACATTAGTGGAGAGTGTGGAATGTAAGGGTGTCAAGGAGTTGCCATACTCGGAGAGAAGAAACATTTTGGAGACGTGTTGCAACCCTGTGTTATGGATAGCTCTCCACAAAATCGGCTTTGAAAGAAAACAAAAACAATTTGAAATATCGCATCAAAACAAGCAGTCAAGTGAATCGGTTGTGGATGTTAGAGTTTGATCTCCTTTGGGCTACATCGTTCTAACTGTATATACTAATAAATTTAAAAGAAGTTGTAGTGCTAAAGGAATTAAAATACTATTGTTCAAATCTGAACTTAAAAAGAAAAAAGTAGTTAAATTACCACTCGTTTCTGAACAAAATTGAATTCGTCGTGACAAATGAACTCGCTGATATTTTGACGAGCAGTTAATCGGAAAATTACGGTTTTTGTTTTGTTGCCTGAAAAATTTTTAACAACAATTTTACGCGAATTCAATAAGCACTTGTAAAGCGACTGGAAGAAGTTAAGCTCAAAAGCAGACAAAGAAAATTAAAGACTTCTGAACAAGTGATGGAAGTAGCTTTAAATACGGTCGTGGCGTCCTCGACGCATACGTTTAAATTGTTGGACGGCAGATATGGAACATTGTTGGAAAGCAATAAGAACAACAACAACAAAATTAATACAGAAAATAACGGCGTCATTGGCGTTAGTCAAAGCATTTTAAATATTTTTGGAGCACCTGAGAAATTTATTAATGACAGAGGTAAATATTTTATAGTTAATATCTTTCAGAGGAGTAAGTCATAAATCATAAATGTATATATTTTTTCGATTGCTGATTATACATCTAACAATAAATATACGTTAGAGGCACAAACGTTTAAAAACGAACTGAATATAAAAAACAACAATGACAAAGATATCGATGTTCAGGATTTGCTTGCAAACCAAAAAAGTCAACTTCAATTACTCCAGTGCAATAATACTAAGCTGATGTTGGAAGGTCAACAGGCTACAACTTCTTTAAAAACTACGACTGACTTATTGGCCGCTTTAAAAATAACAAATACCAAAATAAATGAAAATAGACAGAACAGTTCAAATGCATCGAACCTTACGACATCATCACTATCAACGCCGTTACCAACATCTTTAATTGTAGAAAAAACAACAACGAATTCCAATATCTCAATATTGAAAGCAGTCTCAAGTGGAACTCCAGGAAGAAGCAACAACTCTGTGGTTAGTATTGTCACCAAGAATGGTTTACAAATTCCGTCCGACATACTTGATGATTTGGCAAGTCGTTTTATTATTAATGTTCCTGATATGGAATTGAACAATCTTATTCGCATTTGCTTTCAAATTGAGTTAGCGCATTGGTTTTACTTGGATTTCTTTTGCGCTGCGACCGGAGATAACCCACAAAGCGAAGAATTAAGAAATAGGAAATTACCAACATGTGGAATGAAGCAGTTCGCGATACAGATATTTAAGGTATATATTGGTAAATTATTACATATATTATTCGCAAATTTCTTTTCTTAATAGCATATTCCATTTCTACGTGAACAATTACCGTCTATCGATAAAATATTGGATGATTGGAAAAATTATAAGCTCTCAGTTCCCACATATGGGGCTATCTTAATATCTGAGGATCTCAATTATTGTCTTTTAGTGCAATCATATTTTGCAAAAAGTTCATGGGGTTTTCCGAAAGGTAAAGTCAATGAGAACGAAGATCCGGTGCATTGTGCCACAAGAGAAGTAAGTTTGATATATAATTTTGAATTAAAACTGGATAAATATGTTATATCTATTTTAATTTTTCTTAAACTTAAGGTATATGAAGAGACTGGTTACGATATAACGAAATTAATAGTACCAAGTGACTACATTGAGGCTGTTTTCAATTATCAATATACACGCTTGTATATCGTGCGCAACGTATCACTTGATACAGAATTCTCACCGCGAACACGCAATGAGATAAAATGCTGTGATTGGTTTCCGATCGACTCGCTCCCGGTCAATAAAAATGATGCCATATCAAAAGCCAAATTGGGTATAAACGCCAATTCATTTTTTATGATAATGCCATTTGTTAAACGGCTTAAAAAGTGGGTAAATGATAAGCGCTCGGGAATAGAGACTAGACGTAAATTTTCCGGTGGTGGCAGAAGTATCTCGCCCGAAACAATGAATGCACCTACATCACTGTGTACAACAGTGACGGCAGCCACCCCTTCTACTCTAGGTGGTAGCAATCAAAATAGTATAAACCAAAAGCAAACAAATGTGAATAATAGTAGTAAGAAAAATAAACAACATACAAATAATGATGATAAGCATAAAGCTTCAAACATTAATGCAGGAACTAATTGTATTAATGGCAATAATAATGGAATATCGGCCACACCAACAAGTACCAATAAAAACTATAGTAATCGTTCAAAAAGACAACGCCATAAATCTATGGGGGATTTGGATTGTAATTCAAATAACAATTTTAAAAATTCTGTTCACGTAACGGCTGTTTCGGATGGTGTTGAATCGCCAACCGAATCAACAGTAAAAGACTCTGGCAGCTGCAGAACAGTCTCTAACTATAAACGCAATGGCAGCTCAGCAAAATATCTTGCTGCCGGCAGCAACAATAATGGACCGTATAACAACCACATAAACGGTGCAGGCTGCACTTCATCAAAACGCCAATTGTTTCATAGTCAAAGTCAAAATGGTTGCAATCAAAGTGGAGAAAAGGTAAGAAATATGTTATATAATGAGTTTCTCATATCCATACCAACAAATAATGAGAATTTTCTACGCCCTATTGCAAAAAATTCAGACGCTTTAAAATACCGTAGAAATAATCTATATAAAAGTGTATAGGCACTGGTGGCTATATTAGTTTTTATGTAGTTTTGAATTTGTTGTGCTTTTTTAATTGTATAAAAATTTTTTTTATATAAGTATGTGAAGCCACATAAAAAAATAATTGTACACCATTTCTTCCCAAGAAGCTGCCCTTAGTTCGGAGTCGTCGATATCGGACCACTATAGCCATATAAACTGATCGATCTTAATCGATCGAAATGCGCACCATGATCTTTGGCACTCCTGCCTGTCCAATGATTGTAGGGGATGGAGCTGGCGTAAAAGATTGATGATTCGACATTCTGCGCAATGAATGACGAAGCCCCCCCCAGAACTATAGGCACCTGCAATAGCTCGCCAGATATTACCATCGCTAGCGGTGGTCTGATAAATAGCATAACCTGGCCTATGTTAACTCTCGCATTGGACCATCTGCCCCTAATTATCTCGATCGAGAAACCTCCCGACTTTATTTCTACCTATTTTACGGACGTCATCGTTGGCGAGCGTCAATTCCGCAAGGTGATCGCTGCTGCTCGCTTCATACCGGCTGGAAGAATTCCGTCCTAATTTTCCACCCGAAGCAGCTGTATTAGCCAATGAGCGCGACATCTTACGCCATGCCGATCCCTGTGATCCCCGAGTAAGGGAGCTTAATTTGGATATTCGGCAAATGGTAAAACAACATAAGCGGACAAAATGGGTAGAGCATTTAAAGTCCTGCAACCTCTCCACCAGTGTGATTAAGCTTTCGACCACTGTCAAGGCCTTTCCTAATCCGAGGAAACATGACGATCGGGTTGAAATTGAATTCGATGGCCATGCCTCCTCGGATCCGAAGAAGTGCGCGAGCTATTTAAGCCGGCAATTCACATTGCACCCTTCGGCAGACAAGACCAAACGATATGTTACTCGACGGCTGCGCAAAATCTCAAAAGACTGCGTGTCACTTACTTTCACCGACGGGGAGGTTCAGAGTGTCATCAACAAAGCAAAATCGTCCAAATTCATTGGCCCTGACGGAATAAGTATGCTGATGCTAAAACATCTAGGCTCGACGGGAGTAAGCTATCTCAGCAACCTGTCGCGGACCACTTTTCAAATATCCGATGTGTGGAAAATCGGAAGAGTGGTTCCACTACTGAATCCTGGAAAACCCGCCAATAAAGGGGAGTCTTATCGTCCGATAAATCTCCTTTCCCAAGTAGTGAAGACACTTGAAGCCAGATAGCTCATGTCCTAAACCAAAAGCCACCCTGCGAGAGGACGATCTTCGTAGCGTTGGACTTGTCAAAAGCTTTTGACAAAGTCAACCACAGTTAAGGACATCGAACAATCTACGCTCCCTCCACCTGCTACCTGAGTGGTCGGCTTTCATCCGTACTGTTTCGAGGTCAAAACTCCAAACAGACCATTTTCACAAACTGGACGAAGGAGTACAGACTGGATCTAAACATTACAGTCGATGGCGTTAAAATTCCGACGGTCAGTAACCTTAAAATTAAGGTGTTACATTTGACAGCCTGTGCTCCTTCACTCCTCACACGATCGCGATAACTGCCAAAGTACAGAGCCGCAACAAAATCCCTTACCGGCAGCTCTTGGGGGAAAGACAAAGAAACGTTGCTGGCAACTTACAAGGTAATCGGCCGGCCGGTCTTAAACTACGCTGCACCATTTGGTAGCCTGGATGTAGTGCAACGCAGAAGAAGAAGCTCCAGACATGTCAAATTGCTGCACTTCGGACTATCACGAGAGGCCTCTTGATGTCATCAATCGAACACCTACATAGTGAGGCCTGTATGCTTCCGGTTAAGGAATATAACGAGCTCCTCTCCAAGCAGTTTCTGCTGGGATGTTTATCTGCTTGAAGCTTCCTAGGAACATTACATTAGATAGTACGCCGCCCAGGCTTCGGACGCAACGAACTTTAGACATGCACTGACCGCCATTAACAGTGGAGCCATCAACACCTTCACCGACTCCCTCTCAGGGAATGGCGTACTTGGAGTCAAACCACCACCGTTCGCAGACGAAGAGCTCGAGTTGCCATGAGAATCTAGAGTGACCCTTGCCCAACTTCGTTCTGGATACTGTAGCAGGTTAAACTCCTACTTATCCAGAATCGACCGAGACATACCAAATATATGTCCTGCATGCAATAAGTCCCCGTATGACACTAAACACCTCTTTGCATGCCCAACGAACCCCACTTATCTATCACCTTTTTCCTTATGGTCCGACCCCGTAAAAACGACGAAAACCAAACTGAAATTTACCACCCAAGCGGGCTTTAGATAATCTTTACAACAACGTCATCGATCTAAATCAGATGATTGTATGGAAAATTTCCGAACAGATTGTTCAGATCGGACCACCAAAGCTATATCTGCATATAAAACTGGCCAATCAAAATCAAGATAAAGATCTTCGTAAAATATTCCTAATAACCTTAATTCGACTTAATGATTGTTTATATCAAACAACATGACTAGAAAGGAGTAGCAAAATGTTTTCGTTGGATATAAACCGGAGGCCGGTTTCGTTTTCAGATTTAGTTATATAGTATCACCCCGCTTAATGTATAGAATACGTTCAATAATAGTAGAGCGTAATGCGAAACAGCGCTAAGTGAGGCTATCTTAACCTGTAAATAATGGGGTTAGAGGAAGATGGATAGAAAATTGGTTAGATATTATATTCAATAATTATACTTAAAAAAATGCAACAGAACAATTATTTCTTACAAAAATAAAAACAATATAAACGAATATACTTATAAAAATAGATAAAATTCTAAATCAGTCAGGTCATTCAGTGTATTTTGTGTTTCCAATTTTCTGCCTTTTTTTTGTTTAGAAAGCATCTAATCTAGCTTGCGTTTTCCTTTTGCGTTCTGTTAGAAGTTGTTGATAAGGGGATAAAGCATCTATAACACCCCGTCTTGATTTTGAACAGCTGTCAAAATTTGAATAATTTTCGATAAATTGGTCCATAATTTCAGTTATAGTGGTAAAATAGTGAAAATCATTACTATCAATATTTTTGCTTTCTTCTTGCTCAACTAATCCTTTGAGCTGACCAATAGAAAGAGTAGCTGCTGTTTCTTGAAATATTTTTTCGACGTCTTCCACATTTTCCTCATCTAAACCGGTGTCTTTTGTTAATTCTACTATTTAATCCATATCGACAGAGTGTCCAATGTCTTCGCTTTTACTCAAATCTGGTCAGATGTTCTTCCATAATCCTTTCGAAGATCTTTCTGTTATCTCATTTCAAGAAAGCTTTATGTTTTCTACAGCATTCATGATATTGTAGTTTTTCCAAAATGTTCTTATTGACTTCTTCTCTCCTTCGTCTATTTTATTGAAACATTTTGGTCCATTGGTTGGATTAATGTATGTGTGTATTCTGATGCACAATTTCGGGGAATCCTCAGGTTGAAATAAAAGAGCGCTAAACCGAAACTGCGTTAAGCGGGATCTTACTGTACAAATACGAGTAGTTGCTATAAGAAATGCAGATATGAAGGGTACAATAGTTTCAATGCAGCCGAATTTAATTTTTTTTTTGTGTCATTTGGCTAAATCTGGATAATATGGTGGATGGGACAACAGCTCATGGCCCAATTTGGTAGTGGTGACGGCGGAAGTATAAGCGAAATGCCAACATTTTTTAAATATGTTTTTATTATACTGTTGTTGTTGTTGTTGTTGTAGCGGCAGAATTCTGCCGAGTCCTTGGCCGGAATAAACCCGGGTCCGTTTCGGTTACGTAGACCCGACTTTCGTGGGAACGGTTTTTTTTATTATACTATAATTCGTCGGTGTAGGTAATAACTTGGAATGTTTTATTATTCTATATCATCAATAAGTACTGCCGTGTACTACGCTGCAATTGCATGTTCGCCGGCAACCAAAAGGAGTTATATGATATAGGGTGCGTTCGAGCAACGTAATAATTGCAGCAGTACAGCTACTGTGTTGCATATTTGCTGATACTCTGCTGATGTGCAGACAAAAATTTAGTGTTGCCGATTATTTGCATAAATTGCGAACAAAAAATGGCAGCAGAACGTGATGCTGTTGCAAGTGTTGCTAAAAATTCACGCAGACGTGATACTTTAAAAAATTTGCAACACTGCTGTCGTGATTGCCATCTCGAACGCACTCATACCTACACCTGTCATAACACATGTCAGTTATAGTCCGTGTTCCCGCCTGCAGCAACTCCACCTATTGACATGTCCGCTCAGATCTCATCTAAAACCATCTTTCTTTAGTTCGACCCAGTCGAAACAGTTCATTTTTTAGACCTCCTTTTTTCATCGATATTTAATTTTAGCTGAAAATTCTGATTTATACTGTTTTGAAGAAATATGTAATTTTTCTTTTAGTAGTTTTCGAAAATTCAGTTAGTAAGATAGCGGAAGAATTATTTCGGTAATTTTTCCACCGAGTTTCGCTGTTGTTGTTGTAGCGGCAGAAACAATCCCGAAATATCTGAGGAATCCTGCCGACGTGACAGTGCTTAGTAGGACAAAATAAAATCGGGTCAGTTCCAATTAGGAGGAACCGACTGTCGTGGCAATGGTCCCAACTGAGTTTGGTTAAGATAGCTCTTTATGCACTTTCTGTGACGTTCACAGTTTAAGGGGCTATTCTGGTTTAGAAATTTAGGAAAAAATAAATTTTTTTGCATATTATTGTAGTATAACTCTTTAAGAATATGTCCCTAAAAAGTTTTTTTGAAATTTCAATTATTTTTAGAGTTACAGCTCATTTTGTGATGCGCCGACAAAGTGGACTGGCAGCTCGGCGTGAGCTTTAAAGTCGTATTCTCTTAACTATTTTTTTTTTAGAAATTTTATTTTTTCAAAAATTCCGGATGGCATAAAAACGGGAATTACGAAACGTATTTTTCAAATTGCCTCCATAGTGCTATAACTACATCCTTTCTCTTTAAGGATCTATTTCGGGTTACTGGGCGTCCTTATATTCTGCACACCAGGACGCGCCATTTTTTCATCAGTCCCCCACTTTGCCGGCCTGGAATTTTTTGAAATTAGTTTTTTTTTTTTGTTAAATGATATAATTGATTTGTACTCTTTTTAATCATAGTTCCGTTTTAAAATCAATCAATTAGAACCTGGTTTTTTCTTAATAGAATAGACATGGGAAAGGTTAAGCACAGCGAACCGAAAATTCGAGTACAATAAAAATTTGATTTAACAAGGAAATTCGTAGAGAAAAGTAGCGAATTTGCTTCTGTAGCTTCAAAAACAATGGTTGAAAAAGTAGTTAACTGGGTTTCCCAGATTAAATTACCCGGGAGTAAGCCTAAAATAAAATTGTCTGTCAAAACAAATATAGTCCACTGTGTTAGGAAATATCCAACTATTAAAACAAATTAAATGTGATTTTAATATTGTTATTGACCAGGGTTGCAAATAATGTATAATATTAAAAGAGTAATTGTATTGACATTTAAATTA